CCACGACCACCGCGACCACCGCGACGACTTCCACGAGGCCGACGACCACCACCACCACCACCACCACCACCGCCACCGCCACCGCCACCGCCACCGCCACGACCACGACCACCACGACCACGGCAACCACGGCGACCACGACTACTGCAACTACATTATGATTGCCACTTGTACTGCCAGTGCAACTACTGCCACTTAATGTGTTCCTGGAATCTGGAGTTTCCTGGGCTCATGGGCCTCTATGCCGAACCTCGGCCATCTATGATGCTGACAGAGCCTTGACCCCTTATTGCGATACGGCCTTTGACACCTAGGCGAGGTCTTCAATGCCCTGCCCGCCACAGGCACGCAACGCAAGGTGGCAGATGCTGCGGGCGCTGCATGCATGTTGCATGAGTGTTGCATGTGAGTACGTCAGCGAAAGGGCAAGTGTCTAAGATTGCTGGAGACAGGTGCAAACACCTTCCAGCTCGTGGGTTGTCTGGTGAGCTGTATCCTGAAGCTTTCTGAAGCATGAAAAGCCACCCCAAAGCATGCGCATACTGTTCCAGTGCCCGGTGCTGCTCAGAGCTGGAAAGGCCTTTACCCTTGGCTGCCGTGTATTTGGCCTCTTCCCGGATCCCATGCTGCCTCCTGCGGCTGTGACTGGCAGTATTGGGTGTTAACTAATCATGTAGGCTTAGGTCACTGCCTTGTAAATCCCTGCGCCCAATACCTGCAGCTTTAATTGCAGATCTTGTGCGTCTTGCGTGGTCATGCGAGATTGCCATGGATTGCTTAATAATATGACCGGAAGACCTTACAGACTGTACGAGAGTGTTCCATCGGTTCTACCATGTGACACATTCGAGGTGGAGACAGCGCTGACCATCGTGGTGCGTGATACAGTTTGCTGGGTCTCGCAGACGATCAAGGCTGAACCCTAATTTGTTCAATAGTGGATCTTTCAAGGTCGCCTGCGGTTCAAGCTTGGTGCCATTTACAAGCAGCCTCTTCCAGCAACTTGTTGCGTTTGATCCAAAGCTTGCAGCTGAGCATGCCGAGCATGCACTGAAAGCTTTTGAAGTGTTCATTGGTTGCCTGGCAGATACTAGACGTGCCGTTCGGCACCGGAGGTTCAGTTTATTTGCAGTGTTGATCTACATGTTGCACTCCCTGCAAACCAAAGGCATAAGGTTCCTTGTAACATGCTTCTGTAGAGACTAGACAGTGATGATCCCTGTGAAGCATTGGGCAAGGCCATTGGCACGCGCAACCCCAGTGCCACCTCCGAGGTGCGCATGGGGGTTTCCTAAAATCAGGGGTACCTTTTAGAGGGGACCCAGTCTTCGGGCGGCCATTTCACGCAAAGCCCGTTTACGGATAGGGGAAACCCAACACCGATACTCCCTAAGATGGGCCGCTTCTGGGAATAAGAATTTTGGCGCGAGCTCATTTGTTGAGGGCTTCAGGGCGTGGTTTCTGTTTGCTCTTTCTTTGTAGCTGCAAAGATCGTCTTATGTACTCTTGTTCAATGCTTGCCGGTTGTGATGCTTCTGAAGTTCCATCAAGGTGGGTCCTAGCATTTAGGAGCAAGGGTTTAGCAGTGTCAAAGTGAATTAGCCAAGGCCTTGTGCCGATCACACTGCCGCGATGACAGCCATTGTGCGAACTACAAATTCGACGGTGAGTGCATGAGGCCGGCAATTCCTTGAAGAAGTCGGTTCCCTGTCGTGGAATGTCTTTTCACTGTTCTCGTCTCGTTTTGAAAACCGTCTAGTCCATGCTGCCCCTCTGCAAATACGTACAAATCCTTACCTCAAGGCATCCGAGGACCGCCCTCACGTATTTCACGGGGTCGGACCCTCTGGCAGACAACTCCACATTGAACTTGATGCAACTTGCGTATCTACTGTATTTGGAGGTACCGTTCACTGCACCAAGGGTTACCTGACGCAGGTACGATGTCCGCTCGGATGGGATCCTGGTAACCGCCATGGCCAAGATTACCAATTGCACGGATGACGGCACATGCGGCTTGCATGCATAGGAACTGCCAGTTGCTATAGCAAAGTGAGAGCACGGACAAAGCAATCTTGTGTTCTGAGCTCTGCAGGTGTTCACGTCTGAGTGGTACCTGGCTGGCAAGTACTGCCCTGTTGGCAGAGATGCAATGGGAGGTGGCATCGTCTACATGCGCGATCACGTGACACCACAGGATCGTGTCTACCTACGCGAAGGGGCTGGCTGCGGGGATGGAAAGTCGGCCTTACTCTCGCCCTCGCACAACGACTTTATCAACAAGGCCTGCAAGACTGACTGTGTGCATGGTGTTGAAGCAATCTTAGCAAGTTGCAGACAGGAGCTCGGTCTTTTTGAGCTTCGTGGCACGCGACACGCTTGCGTGAACAGCTCCTCCGTGCACTATGCCCCACAGCAGTGCCTTGTCGGGTTATGTTGGGAACACAGCTCTGCTCAAGGGGTGTTGCTGTTTATGCTGTTTTGAGTCAGGTGCTCTATGGATGACCTGGCTTGGATTGAGGAGCAGGCCTGGGACGGTTCACTTTTGGACTGAGATTGTCATGTGCGCATGAGAGCGTGCACCAGCCAGCTTCAGTGACAGAATCATTGCGCGTGCTGTGCTCATTGGGGTTCTTGTAGAGGTGGAAAGCTTTTTAGCATGCTGGTACACCATCCAGTGAAGGCGCATTAGGTCTGTTGATTGTGGTATAGGATGGTATAGGTATAGATGAGCAGAAGTCCACTCGCGAGATATGACCGAAGCTTTTTGAAGGAAGAAGAATGAGACCTTTGGCCAGGGGTCTTTGGAATGTTGTGCGTGGACCCTGCAGGAACAGCAGAGCGAGGAGGGCTTGCCTTCGCTGGTGTTGGACGACCCTGGCACCAAGGAGCCCGAGGATTTTTGGCTTCATCCTTGTGATTGTCCCTTGCCAACATTTGTGCTGAATTTGTGGTGGAATCTGGTCGTGGTTTCACCGCCCTGCTTCATTCTGTGCGAGACCTGTTCAGAAAATCACAAAGCCCAAGTACTACACAAGCAATGCGCACTCGCTCGAGCTTGCATGTTTCACCTTCCTGGGACCTGATTGTTGCAGTTCTCTGAACATGTTGGTGGAAAGAGTCCTGAAAGAAAATCTGACGATGATGATGAGGATGATGACGATGCTGTTGCAATCATGCTTCGCGTGGCTGACAATTCTCACGATGCCTCTGATCAGGTGCTCCGCCTGCATGGGGCACCAACTTCCCGGTGGACCCTAGCCTGTTTGAAAGCCAGCCAGCATCTTGGTTCCGAAGTGGAGACGGGTGTTGGATTCAAGGTTGGGGCCTGGAAGGGGCCTCAGAAAGGAAGTCTGTAAGGCGATCACGTGTCCATTTTGGATCACAACAACGTTTCCCTTGGACTGCGCCTCACTGATTCAAGAATTCAAGCTATGTACACAGCTAGACTCAGGCGAATAGCAGCAACAAGTACATCCCGGTTCCTTTCAGCATCGTAACTGGACAGCTGGTTTGCCCTTCACGACAGCTTTCGGAGGTGCCTGTCCTGTGCTGTCTGGTGAGTGCTCTCGGGACAAGTGCCAGCCTGGGTAAGGGAAGGTCTGGATGTCCTTTTCTCAGCACTCCCAAGCACCTGAACATGCCCAAGTGAGACTTGCACGGATCAGGCCCCTCTGCTGTCAACTAGCTTTCAGACCTTTGCCCGAGGCGCAGCGGGCGTCCTCTTCCAATCCGAATCAGAGGCCTCAGAGTTTGTTGCAGAGACTCCAGCTGGCTTCAGAAAGTCCTTCAGAAGAGGGGATAGAGACCTTTGAGGCTGCATGCGACCAGAAGGATTCAGTCATGCATGAACAACATGATGACCACAAACCTTTGAATGCTTGACTCACTTGGCTTTTCATGTGCAGAGATTGGATTCTATGGCTCTTCATAAGGGCATCTCCCCTGGCCCCCAAAAAGTTGCCCAGCACAGGCTGTTTTGCAACTCCACTGTCAAGTCATCACCAGTGAGCAACCAGAAAAAACACGGCCAGCTGGACTATCAATCGGCCAGTGGGCGATGGAACCATCATGAAGGTGCGAAACGCAACCTTACCTGTCTTGGATCCTGCGACTCATTTCTTCTTCAGTTGCGGTTAGAGACTCTGTGTCGCACGATTGAATCTGTGCCCTTTGCGCAGCTGCCCTTGCTCCGATCCTACACGGGCACGTGGATGGTTGACCCTTGCCACTCTGCGCCATCATGTGGACGCTCACCTTGCTGGCGGCTTGGCTGGGGAGATCCCCGCCGATTGGATGCAGGCCAACCACCTCCAGCGCTGCACGCAGTGCGGCCTGTCGGTTTCCACTCGGGTGGGGGCTCACCCTAGCTGTGCACCGGCTGCTTGAGCTGCGGGGGGGGCTGCGGCTTCTCGTGACAGCGCGGGGGCTG